CGCCGCTTCCGCCGTGGAGCAGCGTCCGGCCGGCCAGGCCGGGGCCAGGAGGTGGACCAGGCGTGTTTCCTATGGAAACCCCACCTACAGGAAAAGGGAGGACTGGGCTGGTACAATGCCTGGCCAGGACGGGGGCTGGGAGGGAGGCGTGGAAGCGCCCTCGGGTTCCATCCTGCAGGGACCATCACTGCTGTCACCTGCAAAACGCGCGTTATGGAAGGTGCGATTCCTGCAGACAAGCCCCGACCCATCGGCAAAGCCTCCGCGCGTGGTTCAGGAAGGTGTCCGCAAGGACCAGTGATGATGGGGGACTTCTGCTCTTGCGTTACCCCAAAGGCTTGCTGCCCACGCTGTTCGACTCCTGACCTACGCTGATTCATTTTCATTTTGCCTAAACCCGGTGCGTAACGCCCAGCCCTCGCTCCGCATCGTGCTGCCTGTTGGGAGGGCATCGCACCCACGTCAGCGTTCCCAGCACGCGGCTTTTGGTTGCGTCACAGCTTCGTTTTTGACTGGACACACCAAAACGAGGTCAATGAATCCCTGGGAGAGTTGCCATGTCAAACACAGGCAGGTGGGCACACCGGAAGAAAGGAGGCTCTGGCAGATGCGAGCTGTGACCTGTCACGCCTCTCCCCATCCCCTGCGTCCGTCTGTCCTGGCCGGCTCTCCCTGTCTTGGCACGTGCTCTATCCCCGACTCAGCTCAGCTTTGACTTCCCCAGTGTCACTCCTCACCCAGCACTGAGTTTGGTACCACCAAATCCCCGCTTTGCCCAATTTCAGCATCTTATCCTGAGCCCCCACCGTCAAGCAGCCCACGTGCTGTCCGCTCGCTGTGCACGTCTGCTGCACAGGTAGAACAGTCCAAAGTCGTTTCCTGTATTCCTCCTCAGCAGGCAGGAGAGCGGGCAGCTGGCTGCCTGCAGAGCCCAGTTACTCCAAGCTGGGCTGTACTTCGGGTCTCAAGGTGACCAAAGGCAACCACAGAACCATAGAATGGTTTGGGTTGGGAGGGACCTCAAAGACCATCTAGTTCCAACCCCCCTGCCATGTTCCTCTACTTCAGGTTGCTCAAATCCTCATCCACCCCGGCCTTGAACATCTCCAGGGATGGGGCAGCCACAAATTCTCTGGGCAACCTGGTCCAGTGCTTCACTACTCTTATTGTAAAACAAAAAATCTCTTCCTTTTATCTCTAATGTAAATCTCCGCTCTTTCAGTTTAAAGCCATTGCCCCGTGTCCTGTCACTCCTCTCCCTTGTCACAAGCCCCTCTCCAGCTTTCTTGTAGCCCCTTCAGGTACTGGAAGGCTGCTAGAAGATTTGGGACAGGGAAGGTCACTGCAGAAGTTTCCTTGGCCGTTACAGAAAGCAGGTCATCCTCATTCTGTGGTTTGAGTCCCACCAGTCACATCATCTTCATCTTGGCTCCCATGTCTACCAGACAGCCTTCAGCAGCCCTGTGGCTGCCATTGGGTGTCCTGTGCCCACCTTGCCCCTCTCCTCCTGCTCTTCCAGCCTTGCTGGGCACCCTTATACCTCCATCCTATTCTCATCCTCTCCTGACAGTTCCAGTTTTCTCAGTTGAGGCTCCCCATTGCCTGCTCCCCATCCCAGTTCCCTGCTCTCATCACTTGTCTTCTATTATGGTAAATTTTAACTCAACAATGAACAGCAAATGCAAAACCACACCAGTGCTGACCAGACATTTCGCCCTGGGGGTGCCAGTGGCACCACTCAGCACACCAGGAGGAAGGGCCAGCACAGCTTGGCTGTGGCAGGACACCCAGTGCTATTCCTGGGCTCAGCCCCAGCTCCAGGTGACCTTTGCCAAGTCATTTCCCTGCTTTGTGCTCTCGCTTCCTCCTCGGCTGAGCGAAGCCAGCCGCGGGCTCTCCTGGACGGATGCTCTCCTGCTCACTGGCTGCCCGCGGGGCCGCGGATGGAGAAGCGGATGTCTCCCAGCCCGTGCTCTGCTTTCAGGTGGGTGGGTGGGAAGGTGGCTTCCTTCGGGGGGAGTCTCGTCCTTCCACCTCCCTTCTTCTACACCTTTCCTTTTCAAGGATGGAGAGGAACAGAAGAACCACACTAAAATATCATCAAGGAAAGGAAATAAATATTATGCCTGAGAGCTGTAGGGGTTCCTCAAAAGTCCTGCAAGACATACCCTTCTACCCATCGCCTCCCAAGCCATCTGCAGAACAAGCCAACCTCACCAAGTGCCCCATATTTAACCCACCACTGATATACCAGGAGATATATTCCCCCCACAACACCAGCACCCACACGCGCTGGACCCTGCTTGGTGCAGCCCCCGCCCCACCAGCCAGAGGGAGGATGCCCCTTTAGGCTGCTGCAGCCCCAAACCACTCCTTTTTCTCCCCAAAGGCAGGGAGGCAGATGGGATTTTAAGCACCAGCTTGCTCAGTCACCAGAGGGAAAGGCTGATGTGACAGTCCTGGCGCTGGGTGGAAAAGTTGCAGTCACCGAGATGAGTGCTTTGACCCACCCCATCCTGAGCATCGTCCCCCTCACCAGCTGTGCTGGCCCCAGTCCAGCTGTACAGACACCAGCACTGGTGACAGATCTGCACTGGCCAAGAGAAAAGGAGCTGGAGGAGGTAATGCATTCATTATCACGATGCTTCCGGAATAAATAAATCCCTATAGACTCGACCTGTGAGCCCGAGCCATCGGGATGCCCGTGGTTGGCAGGGAGGCCGGCTGCGGGACGCTGCCGACGGCGGTGGAAGACCAGCAAAGGAACTAGAAAAGCAAACTGGAGTCGAGCTGAGACTCGCCGGAAGCGCAGACAGTGAAATAAGATCCGGTGCTAAAAAACAAAACACGTCTCCTCCTGCTTCCTGCTCGCACGCCGGCAGGTTTCCAACACGCAGGTGCCCTAAGACCTTCAGAGACGACGTCGTGAACACAAAACTTCTTCTCCAGGAGGTTGGCTGCATTCAAACCCTTTCATTTAAAGCTCAGAAAGAGCATCAGTTCTATTCAATCATTGCAGCAGTAGCTGCCAGCTTTGCGTGGCACTCTTGGTGCCCAAAGCAGATGTAAATGCCACGTACACGTTGAGAAAATTCGGCTCCTCTGAAGCTCAGCTGCTCTCCAGGCTCCGGAGCAAGACGCAGGGGACACCCCAGCCTCCCAGGGGGGCAGAGCTGTACTCGAGGCATCGCGTGCTCGCCGTCCATCACATAGCAGAGAGCAGCCTGACCACGGTATTTTGAGCTCCACTGCACAGCTGAAGGTCTGCAAATTTTCTTTGTCAGGTTGGCTGGTGTTAGCTGGGAACCACGAGCTCCACCGCAAATTGCTGGGGGGGTGCACAGGGAAACACAGAAATGAGAATCACAGAACCATAGAACGGTTTGGGTTGGGAGGGACCTCAAAGATCATCCAGTTCCAACCCCCCTACCATGGGCAGGGACACCCTCCACTACACCAGGTTGCTCAAAGCCGCATCCAGCCTGGCCTTGAACACTGCCAGGGATGGGGCAGCCACAAATTCTCTGGGCAACCTGGTCCAGTGCCTCACCACCCTCTGAGTGAAAAATTTCTTCCTTAGATCTAATCTAAATCTCCCCTCTTTCAGTTTAAAGCCATTGCCCCTTGTCCTGTCACTACACACCCTTGTCCAAAGCCCCTCTCCAGCTTTCCTGTAGCCCCTTTAGGCACTGGAAGGCTGCTGGAAGGTCTCCCTGGAGCCTTCTCTTCTCCAGGCTGAACAGCCCCAACTCTCTCAGCCTGTCTCCATAGCAGAGGTGCTCCAGCCCTCAGATCACCTTCACGGCCTCCTCTGGACCCTCTCCAGCAGCTCCATGTCCTTCTTGTGTTGAGGACCCCAGAGCTGAACACAGCACTGCAGGGGGGCAGTCTCACAAGAGCAGAGCAGAGGGGCAGAAGGGAAGAGAAATTTTTTCAAATCTAATAATGAAAACCAACATCAAAACAAGAAGAGTTCAATAGGAGCACGACTGAAGATCTACCAAGATTTGGCCTCATTTGGGTGCTCAGGGTTTACCAGGTCCTGTGAACCATTCAGGGAAGCAGGACTTGGTCTCAGGAAGCAGTCCTGCTCTTGGTCTAGAGCAGGACTGCTCTACAGCTGCTCCTTCTGGTGAAAACAGTGTCTGAAGGTGAGGACACAGAGCCCATAGACAACTAGATGCACCCCAAGGTGGGACACTGTCTTCCAGAATCAAGTCCATTACCTCAAAGCACTGTCCTAAGCAGGAAGACAGCCGCAAACCTAGATGGGACAAGTAAAAGCATAGCTGGTCCCCACCGGCTGGCTCCCTTACACCAGGGATCATGCTTTTTCCCCACTACTGTCCCGATTTTCAGCCCTTCAAAGACAGACTTTGCTTCTCCAGAAGTGTCACTCCCTTTTCAGCAGAAAAAAAAATACATTTTCTTACACCATCTCTGTGCATTAGATCTTTTAGGAGCTGGGTGCAGATGCGCAAGGTGGCCCAGGACCTGCCCCCTCCTCAGCTGCCTGCAGGGACAGGGGAGGCTCTTGGGGGACTTTTCTCAGGAGGAAGGAGATGATTCACCTTCTCACACCAAAGATTTGCAAACAGCAAACACCAGAACCCAAGATCTGCAGGAGGTGGATGGACTTTCTCTCAGGGGACCCTGTGCTCATCTCCATGAAACTAGACAGTGACACACTGAAAGGGACCTCCACAAGCCACCTGGTCCAGCCTCCCACCCCAATCCCATCC